TCCTTCCAGTCAGTTTTTTCTGGGGGCAGCCATGTTTCTACATCATCCAATCGCTGCTGATAACAGAAAGGCAAAACTTCCAAGCCTCACAGGAGTCTACCCTTCACACAAAACATGCTACTTCTGCAACCTTTGACATCCCACCCATCTCAATTTCAGTTTCAGTTTCTCATTTCCCCTCTCTTAAGTTCCGCTCTTCACATTTCCACTAATACAGTGATACCTCAGGTTAAGAACTTAATTCGTTCCGCAGGTCCGTTCTTAACCTGAAACTGTTGTTAACCTGAGGTACCACTTTAGCTAATGGGGCCCCTCGTTGCCGCCGCGCGATTTCTGTTCTAATCCTGAAGCAAAGTTCCTAACCTGAGGTAATATTTCTGTAACCTGAAGCATCTGTAACCTGAAGCGTCTGTAACCCAAGGTACCACTGCATACTCATTTTTGTATGGAGTTTTACTCAATATACACACACAGGACAGTAATAAACAAAAAACAGATTAAGACATGTGTCAATATACCATGTGTCTTTAAGTTGCATTTTAAATTGTATTTAAGCTGCATTTTAAACTGTATTCTAAATTATATTTTAATCAACTGTTTTTTGTTTTTTAAAAATGTTTTTACTGTATTTATATTCAGTGTTAGCTGCCCTGAGTCCAGTCTTGGCCGGGGAGAGCGGGGTATAAATAAAATTATTATTATTATTAAGGTTTGTCTAAATGAAAAGGCTTTTAGCAAGCCCCGAAAAGAGTACAATGGTACCTCGGAAGTCGAACGGAATCCATTCCGGAAGTCCGGTCGACTTCCAAAACATGTGGAAACCAAGGCGCGGCTTCCTGCAGCCAATCGGAAGCCGCATCCGATGTCCGGGTTCCAAAGAACGTTTGCAAACTAGAACTGCAAACTGGCGTCCGGGAGCCAAAACGTTTGATTGGTGAGGTGTTCAGCTTCCAAGGTACGACTGCACAGTGAAAACTCCTGCCTGGTGTCAACAGGCAGGGAGATTTCCAAAGTGTGGGTGCTCTGACTCTAAAAGATAGATTTCTTACAGCTGTGGAATGGGGGTTATGTGGCACCTTTAACAGTGCCAGTTCTGCAAATCAAAGCAGTCGAGTATTACCGTATTTTTCGCTCTATAAGACGCACCAGACCACAAGACGCACCTAGTTTTTGGAGGAGGAAAACAAGAAAAAAAATATTCTGAATCTCAGAAGCCAGAACAGCAAGAGGGATCGCTGCGCAGTGAAAGCAGCAATCCCTCTTGCTGTTCTGGCTTCTGGGATAGCTGCGCAGCCTGCATTCACTCCATAAGACGCACACACATTTCCCCTTACTTTTTAGGAGGGAAAAAGTGAGTCTTATAGAGCAAAAAATACGGTATTTGGGGGAAGACAATCTTGCAGGTAATCCGGCCCCAAGTTTCTGTCACTTTGTTTTCTGTTTTCATTATTACACTCTGAAATCTCTCGATAAAGGCCAGTACAGTGGTACCTCGGGTTAAGAACTTAATTCGTTCCGGAGGTCCGTTCTTAACCTGAAACTGTTCTTAACCTGAGGTACCACTTTAGCTAATGGGGCCTCCTGCTGCCGCTGCGCGATTTCTGTTCTCATCCTGAAGCAAAGTTCTTAACCCGAGGTACTATTTCTGGGTTAGCGGAGTCAAAACGACCTTGACAGATTAGAGAACTGGGCCAAAACAAACAAGATGAATTTTAACAGGGAGAAATGTAAAGTATTGCACTTGGGCAAAAAAAATGAGAGGCACAAATACAAGGTGGGTGACACCTGGCTTGAGAGCAGTACATGTGAAAAGGATCTAGGAGTCTTGGTTGACCACAAACTTGACATGAGCCAACAGTGTGACGCGGCAGCTAAAAAAGCCAATGCAATTCTGGGCTGCATCAATAGGAGTATAGCATCTAGATCAAGGGAAGTAATAGTGCCACTGTATTCTGCTCTGGTCAGACCTCACCTGGAGTACTGTGTCCAGTTCTGGGCACCACAGTTCAAGAAGGACACTGACAAACTGGAACGTGTCCAGAGGAGGGCAACCAAAATGGACAAAGGCCTGGAAACGATGCCTTATGAGGAACGGCTAAGGGAGCTGGGCATGTTTAGCCTGGAGAAGAGGAGGTTAAGGGGTGATATGATAGCCATGTTCAAATATATAAAAGGATGTCACATAGAGGAGGGAGAAAGGTTGTTTTCTGCTGCTCCAGAGAAGCGGACACGGAGCAATGGATCCAAACTACAAGAAAGAAGATTTCACCTAAACATTAGGAAGAACTTCCTGACAGTAAGAGCTGTTCGACAGTGGAATTTGCTGCCAAGGAGTGTGGTGGAGTCTCCTTCTTTGGAGGTCTTTAAGCAGAGGCTTGACAACCATATGTCAGGAGTGCTCTGATGGTGTTTCCTGCTTGGCAGGGGGTTGGACTCGATGGCCCTTGTGGTCTCTTCCAACTCTATGATTCTATGATTCTATGATTCTATGAGTCTGCAACCTGAAGCATCTGTAACCCGAGGTACCACTGTATATAAATTGAATGGAGAAGAAGAAGAAGAAGGGAACATATATGTGTGTGCATGGTGTTGGTTAGAGCATGGTGCTGAGAACACTAAAGTCGCAGGTTCAATCCCCATATAGGTAAGCTGCAAACACCTGGACTAGATGATCGTCAGGGTCCCTTCCAACTCTACAATTCTATGATTCTCTGGGTGTGTTTGTGTGTCTGCCTGCACATTGTCTCGCCAGGGTGGTGCATGCTCTGGTTATCTCCTGCTTGGACTACCGCATTGTGCTCTGTGTGGGGCTACCTTTGAAAGTGACTCGGAAACTACAACTAATCCAAAATGTGGCAGCTAGACTGGTGACTAGGAGTGGCCGCCAGGACCATATAACACCAGTCCGAAAGGATCTTCACTGGCTCTGAATACATTTCTGAGCACAGTTCAAAGTGTTGGTGCTGACCTTGAAAGCCCTAAACGGTCTCAGCCCAGTAGAGCTGAAGGAGCGTCTCCACCCGCATCATCCAGCCTGGACACTGAGGTCCAGTGCTGAGGGCCTTCTGGCGGTTCCCTCACTGCGAGAAGTGAAGTTACAGGGAACCAGGCAGAGGGCCATAATAACAACAACAACAACAACAACAACAACACAGTGGTACCTTGGTTCTCAAACACCGAAAACCCGGGAGTCAGTGTTCCAGTTTTCAAACATTTGTCAGAAGCCAAACGTCCAATGCAGCTGATGGCTATTGTTTCTGGGGCACCTCCATAAATCAGAAGCTGTGACTTGGTTTTGGAACATTGCGGAAGTCAAATGGATTTCCAGAACAGATTAAGTTTTGCGCTTTTGTTTTTGCTATTTATGTTGCGTTTTTGTTTTTGAGGCTTTTTTGGTTCATTTGATTTTGACTGTGTGGAACCCAGTTCGGCTACTGATTGATTGATTGTGTGACTGAGGAAATAGATAAAAGCCCCCCCATCCAAACAATGACTATCATCAGTGCAGGTAAGGAAAAAAATATATTTTTATCATCTACAATACTGTTTTATTTATTTTATAGTACAGTACAGTGGACCCTCGGGCTACGTTACTTTTAGGTAACATAATTTTCAGGTTGCGAATGCAGCAAACCGGAAGTGGGTTTGCCACTCGCACGCTTTGCACATGCACAGAGGCACTGTGTGGCGCTGTGTGCGTGCGCAGAAGCGGTCCTTCAGTTACGAAATCTTCAGGATACAGCCACGCCTCCGGAATGGATCCCGTTCATAACCAGAAGTACCACTGTACAGTACATTGATCATTGCTTTCACTTAATGGATCGATGGTCTCATTAGATAGTAAAATTCATGTTAAATTGCTGTTTTAGGGGTTGTTTTTAAAAGTCTGGAACGGATTAATCCGTTTTGCATTGCTTTTGATGGGGAAGCGCGGCTTGGTTTTGGAATGCTTTGGTTTTGGAACGGATTTCCGGAACGGGTTAAATTTGAGAACCAAGGTACCACTGTAATAATAATAATAATATATGATACACTTTCTAGCCAGGCAGCAACACTTGAGCTCCAAAGCAGGGTCATTGAGGAGTGTTGCTAGAGGGGAGATGGCGTAGCCAGAGGAGAGTTCAAAGGGCCGCATAGAGAAGCCTGGAGGGCCACATTGGCTTTTTAGGGCCTCATTTCCCCCTACACGCTTATCTGTGGGCAGATACCTCTGGGACTTACTTCTGAGTAAACATGCACAATATTGCTCTGCCAATCAACAGGCATTTTCTGAAGTCACCATAACGTGTCGTTTCCCTTCTTGGGTCTATCCTGCAACTCCATCCACTTAGTAGGTATTAACTGTTCAGGATGCCTCACGCTCAATTATTTAAAATTCCGTTGCTATGGTTCCGCAGCCCGGCGATGGGGTTTAAGGCGTCCGCAGATGGCCTTTGGTTTTGAGTTCCCGTTTGCGCTTTGGTTAACTTGGCGCTCCGAGGTATTAGGTTAATTAAAAGCCATGTGTTACACGGGGGAACCGACTTACATTTATGGATTAATAAGTACCCGAGAGAGCTGTTGAAAGGCACGCAGCGTCGTGGAGCCTCTTCTTGGAATAAGGGGAGCTGGGAGCTCTGGAAGAGAAGACCCCCCCTTTTTTTTACACCCACCTCCCTCAGATATGAATTTCTAGCCTCTTCCAGAGCTGGAGCCTGAGATCCAGTGTGGATTTCCCTCGGAGGCAGTGCTGAAACTGCAGTGGACTTGGGGAAATACTATTTAAACAACAAAGAATGTGTGCAGGATCTCATCTGTCCCAGCAAGGAGGCAGCTTGTGACTGAGAAGAGTAAGCCGGAACCTCACAGACGGGGAGAAAAATAGGAGTTGCCGTCTCAGAGAACTATGTTGCTGCTTCTCCAGATAAAGGAATTCGTCTAAGGCTCAAAGAAAGGAAAGAGAGAGAAACAGAGAGAGTTGAGAGCAACCTCCGTGGAATGCCAGCAAGGCTGAATCCACCATGTTCCCAGGCTACGGCAACCCGGCTGTCCATGAGAGGGACCAGAAAAAATGGGCCCTCATCCGCAATGTCAACCAAGTTCTGAAAGCCACTACGCTCCTATCGGTAAGAGACATGCACACCAGCTCTTGGGTCTGCGTTGCAGGCTGCAATTTTGCTTATTTATTTCATAAAACTTCTACACCGCTCGGCCGTCAAAAGACCTCGGAAGCGGTTCACAAAGCCACGAAATTATCGCTTACCATAGTTTAAGACTTAAGAAAAGCTGAAGTCACAATGGGCTGAAATTAAAACTCACACCAGCTTTCTGAGCACCTGGCTTCCCCGAGCAAAAATGATTTTAGCAGGCATTGAAAAGCGTACATTTTTGGCTCCTGCTTCGTGTCAATAGGCAGGGAGTTCGAAAGGTGTGCTTCCCGCACTAAAAGATCAATTGCTTATAAATGCACAATGGGTATTACGTGGCACATGTAATAGTGCCACTTCTGCAGATCAGAGGTACTCAGTGGGCGCATTTAGGGGAAAGGTGATCTCATAGGCAAATGGGTCCCAGGTTGTTAAATACTAATAGCAACGCCTTGGACTTTGTGATAGGAATTTTGAGGTCTTAGATATATGGCAATGTTCATAACCGCACGTACATAGATCAGCACAGGAAGACCCACCTGAAGCCATTTTGATTCCTAAACTGAGCAAATGTTTTCTCTGCAAGGTCAAAGTGGAAAAGCCTCCCCATTGTCTTTTCCTTCACAAATCCTGTCTTAAGGGTATGTCTGTGTTTGAATAGGGTGTGAGCCTGTGACCTGGCCCAGGAACTAAGTATTTATCACTACAAAAGAATGGCCAGGCTCCCCAGGCAATCCAATCAAGTAACCTGCCAGACAGGAGATAAAAAACAACAGGAGAAAACAATATTCAAATTTCTGTTTTAAGACCGCCTTTTCTGTGATGTAGGTATGATGTATCTGAAGGGTGGTCTTAGGTTACATACATGTATGTATGATGTTTCTGGGGGTGGTCTTGATCTACAGGGTGGCAATTTCAAAAGTCTTTATAAGCCATTGCACAGCATTTTTGTGGGTCCTCTTCCTCTCCTGTGGGTGAGGGGAGCACCCTGTTGAAACAGATCAATAAAGATGAAGCTTACTAGCTGCTTTGCTTCTCAATATTCTCTGGTTGGCCTCTGTTATTCTCTCCTACCAATAGGGAACCTACATAAGGACTCTATATGGTCTCTTGGATACCCCATAAGGGAAAAGGGCAATTTTTGTTTACAACAACTTCACCTGGTAGCAAATTGACAACCCTCACCAGTGTCAGCAATCGCGCTGCAACATTCTGCACTAACTGCAGCTTCTGGGTCTCCATAGAAGGCTCCACATAGTTGGACTTTTGTTGTGTCCTGATTTTCTGACCACCTTGGAAAGATGAGCATGGCAGATTTTAGAGTCCAAAGATTTTAGAGTTGTTTGAGAAGGAAGGAGCACAGCGCTTTGGGGCAGGGCTGGCGAAACTTCTTCCTATTGTGGGGGACTTTGGGGGGTGGGCAGCCGCAGGCTAGTGGCAGGTGGAGCCAGAGCGGGGGGCAGCTTTGCGTCGTATGCTTCATTCATTCTTCGGCTGTGGCACCTAGTTCTGAAACACCTTCCCTTTTTTTCCCCTCAAAAATTTTATTGGTTTTCCACATTTTTAGACAAAGAAACAAACGCAAATCATAACTGAACTTGATCCAATATTAATATTGGAGATAAAACCTCCCTAATGTCTTCTAAACATCAGATAGTTGTTCATTTTCTTGACATCTGATGGGAGGGCAGTTCCATAGGGAGGGCGCCACCACCGAGAAGGCCCTCTGCCTGGTTCCCTGTAACCTCACTTCTCGCAGGAAGGGAACCTCCAGAAGGCCCTCGGCGCTGGACCTCAGTGTCCGGGCAGAACGATGCGGGTGGAGACGCTCCTTCAGGTATAGAGGACCGAGGCCATTTAGGGCTTTAAAGGTCAGCACTAACACTTTGAATTGTGCTCGGAAACGTACTGGGATTATAACAATGCATGCTTGTATATTTGGTAGGCAAGGCTGCTTGCGGATGCATTTTAGATCTCTTATGCCCTGCCCCATGTTAGTTCTTCTGGTTTATGCTAATTTTACCCTGGCTTTTGGCACCTGGGATGTTCCTTTTCGCCTTATTTCTGCAATTTTAAGCACTGCTTTTAATATTGTGTTTTAACTGGGACCTTGGGGTGAAGGTGGAGTGATAAATTCTAATAATAGAAATAAAAATGACAACAATTGTTGCCAGTTCTGCGCTAAAATAGGATAAGTGCTTTTTTTAAAAAAAATGCCATTTTTTGCGTTTGTCTTTTTAAAGGGATGTTGCAAACCTTTTAGAGATTTTCTCTGTGGAGCAGTGTCTAAACCACCTAAAGAAGTACCGTATTCTTTGGTCCATAAGACACACTTTTTTCTTCCTAAAAAGTAAGGGGAAATGTCTATGCATCTTATGGAGCGAATGCGTGGTCCCTGGAGCATTGGGTCACCCCAAATTCACCATCAAATCACATATCTGTGGCCACAGCATGAACCACAAAAATCATATATCCACTGTTTCGTTTAGACTCCCCCCCCCCTTGTTTTCCTCCTCTAAAAACTAGGTGCGTCTTATGGTCAGGTGCGAAAAATATGGTAAACAATGTGGGTGGGGTCGGGGAGGCGGAGCTCTTGGCACCGGAGGGCAGGGCCTAAAGCGGACCTGGAGGGTGGGTGGGCAGGCTTAGACCTCCCTTCATTACCCTCCATCCTTCTTGCTGTGTCCTTCCCTTTTCCGAAATCAGCTTCACTCTCTCTGCCCATCCAGCCGGCTCTCCTTTTCAAATCCTCTCCAGAGAGGACATGAGGACATGGTCTCTCCCTGTGGTCCCGCACGCTCCTTGCTGAGTAGAGAGTCATGGGACAAGGACAAGACCGGGCTGCTCTTTTGACCTCTGGTGACAGATAAGAAGGGAATTGTTCAGAAAAGACTGCAGATAATGGGGAAGAAAGCAATTCAGAACTGCTGAAAGTTTTAGATTTGAGGGAAGACCTTTGACATGGCACCAACAGAAGATCCCGGCTGAGTGAAAGGAGGATCCTATGATTGCAATTAATTTTTGCAGGAAGATCTATATCTATATATTATTAATGTATTTAATTTCCTATACAAGTCTCTTCCTAGAAAACATCTTGAGGTGATTTGATGGTAAATACCTCAGCATTAAAAACAAGTAAAACACACATTTCATGTCAAAAGTTTTTTAAAAAAATTGTCCAGTAGCACCTGAGAGACCAACTAAGTTTGTTCTGGGTATGATCTTTCGTGTGCACGCACACTTCTTCAGATACACTGAAATAGAAGTCCCCAGACCCTTATATATAGTGGGAGGGTGGGGCGGGGGTTTTCTCGGGAGGGTAGTAGGAGATGGGTGATTGACTCAATGGGTATGGTAAACCTGTTGATGACTGTTAACGACTGCAATTAGTCCTACAGGGATAGTATGCAGATGACCAGAAATAACTTTAGCATGTGTAATGAGACAAGAATCCAACATCTCTATTCAGACCAGGTCTCTCCATAGTTTTCAGTTTAGCAAAGGTCAAGGGACCCCTGACCATTAGGTCCAGTCATGGCCGACTCTGGGGTTGCGGCGCTCATCTTGCTTTTTTGGCCGAGGGAGCCGGCGTACAGCTTCCGGGTCATGTGGCCAGCATGACTAAGCCGCTTCTGGCGAACCAGAGCAGCGCACGGAAACGCCGTTTACCTTCCTGCCGGAGCGGTACCTATTTATCTACTTGCACTTTGATGTGCTTTTGAACTGCTAGGTTGGCAGGAGCTGGGACCGAGCAACGGGAGCTCACCCTGTCGCGGGGATTCGAACCACCGACCTTCTGATCGACAAGTCCTAGGCTCTGTGGTTTAACCCACAGCGCCACCCGCGTCCCATTCCAGTTTAGTAATAAGTTGTAATTCAGCAACTTTTCTTTCAAGTCTATTTCTGAAATTCTTTTGTAATAAGACAGCAACTTTGAGATCGTGTATTGAATGTCCTGGGAGACTGAAGTATTCTCCTACTGGTTTCTCTATCTTGTGATTCCTGATATCAGATTTATGTCCATTTATCCTTGGGCGTAGGGTTTGGCCTGTTTGTCCAAATGCCAGCTGAAGGGCACTGCTGGCATTTGATGGCACATTTCATGTGTGATCTTTTCCGGTCTGCATCTGTACAGTGGTGCCTCGCAAGACGAAAAGAATCCGTTCCGCGAGTCTCTTCGTCTTGCGGTTTTTTTGTCTTGCGAAGCAAGCCCATTAGCAGTTTAGCGGATTAGCGCTATTAGCGGCTTAGCGGGCTTAGCGGATCAGCTGATAAGCGGCTTAGTGGCTTAACGGATCAGCTGTTAAGCGGCTTAGCGGATCAGCTGTTAAGCGGCTTAGCGGATCAGCTGATAAGCGGCTTAGTGGCTTACCGGATCAGCTGTTAAGCGCCTTAGCAATCAGCTGTTAAGCGGCTTAGCGGATCAGCTGATAAGCGGCTTAGCGGCTTGAGGAAAAGGGGGGGAAAAGGAAAAAAACCCCGCAGGAACTCGCAAGACATTTTCGTCTTGCGAAGCAAGCACATAGGAAATTTGTTTTGCGAAGTACCTCCAAAACGGAAAACCCTTTCGTCTAGCGGGTTTTCCGTCTTGCGAGGCATTCGTCTTGCGGGGCACCACAGTATTGGAATTGTTGTTTTTTTTAGATGTTCTAATTGTTTTACAGTGGTACCTCTGGTTGCGAATGGGATCCGTTCCGGAGGCCCGTTTGCAACATGAAAAGAGCCCAACCTGCAGCGGCATGTCTGCGCACGTGCAGGTTGCAATTTGCCGCTTCTGCGCATGCGCGTGATGTCATTTTGCGCATCTGCTCATGCGCGAGCGGCGAAACCCGGAAGTAACCCTTTCCGGTACTTCCGGGTCTCCGCAGGACGTAACCTGAAAAAACGTATCATGAAGCAAACATAACATGAGGTATGACTGTATATTTTGTGTGTACTGCCACCCTGGGCTCCTTCCGGAGGATGAGCAGGATATAAACTGAATAAGAAATTTGATTTCTTTCCTTCGTTAGAGTCCTAACCCACCTTTCTTCCAAGGAGCTCCAGGAAGCGTCATACCTGGTTTTCCCCATTCCTCACAACAGTCCTGTGAGGTAGGCTAGGCTGAGAGACAGTAACTGGCCCTAAGTCCCTCAGCTTCATGGCTGAGTGGGGATTTGAACCCTGCTCCTCCAAGTCGTAGTCCAGCACTACGTCACCATTTCAAATCCACTACAGATACAGATTCAGATTTTTAAAAGCAGGCTTCCACTTGTTGCTAAAAAGACAATAGAGATGTAATGTGAAATATACCTGCATGTTTAGCGTGTTCATTTAGAATCTAGTGCCTTTGTTGTTGTTGCTGCTGTTGTTGTTGTTGTTACGGAGTCATATAATCTCATAAACTGAAGCCGTAGAACAAATGTATTTCATTTTTTTAAAAACTCATTTTTATTAATTTTCCAATAAAAAACCAATAAAAAACAATTAAAAACGTTCAATTAATATATCCAATCATAATAATCCAATTAAAATCAAAAACTAAAATAAAAAACCCAAATTATAATCCAAATTATAATTATTGATTTTTCGGAGCTCCCCAGACCTCTGAAGCATATCTCCACATCTCCGTCCTGCCTCTCCTCGTTGTTTCCATTTTTCCAGAACAAATGTATTTCAAAACTGTAAATTAATTTTAATTCAGCTTTAACCCTCAAACGTCCAGCACGGAGCCTGTTCAATAGCACTGCCTCAGCCTGGATGGAAAGAGCATTTTTATTTCGGATTATAAACCAGAGGCACAATAATTTCAAAAAAGGAAAAGAAAAAATCCAGCAATTTTTTTGGGGATTTGCTAGCAATTGCTTTGTTAGCTTTCCACTAAGCTGGAAACAGTGTCTCTTTGCAATTCTTGTTTAGTGGACAAGGGTCAAACTCATGCATCTCCTCCTTGAAATTCTAGGTGCGTGGAGAGTTCATGCATCACAAAAGCAGCAAGAGAAATGTGTGTTTGATATCTCTCTTCTGACCGTGTCTGGTGCCTTCAGTGTACAGCTTTTGTCATATGCTAAAGACTCATCTATGATGATGATGATGATGATGATGATGATTAAATTTTCTGTTTTACAATTTAAAATACTCACTTTTACAACCTTAAAATATCAATGAGTTCTCTTTCCATGGCTCATTTTACATATCATAAATCCCTGCACATTTTACATAAGCTAAACCATTCAGTATTCCGTCATTATTACATCCATCAAAACTTATTTACACTGTTGAATTTATCTTAATGCTGCCAGCGTTTTCAGCTGTACACAATTATTTACCATATATTCAACAAACGTTTTCCAATATTTTCTAAACGTATATTCTTCTTGTTCTCTTGTTCTATATGTTCTCTTGTTCTATATGTTAACATATATGTTCTATATGTTAACTGCTAGCTGAGCATATTCTGTCAGCTTAAGCTTATTATTATTATTAAAGTTATTACCGCTTCGCCTGCAGTCCTGCTCTCCTTTGCTTGTTTTCCATCACATTTCCTCAAAAATTAAATTTCCCCTTGTGTTTCCTTCCAGGGAGATTATGTATGGATGGACCTGAAGACCGGGCGGGAATTTGATGTTCCCATCGGAGCAGTGGTCAAACTGTGTGATTCTGGGCAGATCCAGGTTCTAGACGATGAAGGAAATGTATGTAAGATGGAAATGGAAATCAACGGTCTTATTCTGGCTGTGTCTTCCTCCAAGGTCTTGCTCTGCCGTTAGAGATTTCCATTTCGTATTGAGGAACACGAGTGCTTAAGCAGACTCCATTTGCAACCAGATGTTCAGCAAATATTACCATATTTTCCACTCTATAAGACGCACCAGACCACAAGATGCACCTAGGAAAACAAGAAAAAAAATATTCTGAATCTCAGAAGCCAGAACAGCAAGAGGGATCGCTGCGCAGTGAAAGCAGCAATCCCTCTTGCTGTTCTGGCTTCTGTGATAGCTGCGCAGCCTGCATTTGCTCCAAAAGACGCACACACATTTCCCCTTACTTTTTAGGAGGGAAAAAGTGAGTCTTATAGAGCAAAAAATATGGTATTTTATTAAATCCACTTGCAAATTGCTTCCCTGCCATCTTTAAGTGTCCTGTTGGAAGTGCAACAGCAGGGATCATTCAGTTTGTAACTTGGGGGTTAATTCTGTTCTCAGTCAACTACCTAGTACTCTGTGTGTGTGTGTGTGTTGGAAATGAAGGCATGAAGATTACAGAGGCGGCATTTTTTCATCTCCGCCAAGCTAAGTATTTGGCTCCTTACCTCTCTCACCCTGACCTAGCCACTGTGATCCACACGGCAGTCACCTCCAGACTGGATTATTGTAACTCGCTCTACGTGGGGCTGCCCTTGAGACTGACCCAGAAACTCCAGCGGGTGCAGAATGCCGCGGCGAGACTCCTCACGGGGTCCTCGCTGCGGGATCACATTCACCCGGTGCTATACCAGCTGCACTGGCTCCCGGTGGAGTACAGGATCAGGTTTAAGATGCTGGTTTAAACCTTTAAAGCCCTATACGGCCTAGGACCCTCGTACCTACGGGACCCCCTCTCCTGGTATGTCCCACGGAGGACCTTACGGTCTTCAAACAAAAACATTTTGGAGGTCCCGGGCTACAGAGAGGTTAGGCTGGCCTCAACCAGAGCCAGGAATTTTCGGCCGTGGCCCCGGTCTGGTGGAACGTTCTGTCCCAAGAGACTAGGGCCCTGCCGGACTTGACATCTTTCCACAGGGCCTGCAAGATGGACCTGTTCCACCAGGCCTTTGGCCAGGGCACAGCCTGACTCCCTCCTTTGGTAATTCTTCACAGAACTCTAGCCCAATGGTTGCCATTAATTTGATTTGAACTGATTTTAGAATGAATTGATTTTAGAATGCTGTATTATTTTACTGTTGTTAGCCGCTCTGAGGCCGGCTTTAGCTGGGGAGGGCGGGATATAAATAATTTTTTTTAAAATTATTATTATTATTATTATTAGCAAGTGCTCCAATTGGCTGTGCAATTGCAAGGAAGCTTCTCCTCCGCTTGTTTAGCAAAAACACCTTCCTCCTCAAATTATACGCTCTTTTTGTTCACTTTGCTCAGTAAAGCGTCACCAGGGCATTCCTCCCTGGGCTCGGCTTGCGTGATCTAACTGGCCCCGCGAACCTCTGCAAATGCTGTTACACCTGATCACGCTGTCAGCTTTTTCTTGTCTCTTTCTAACTGCCGGCACACTCTGCTCTCCCCCCTGCCCTTTTGCAGGAGCACTGGATATCCCCCCAGAATGCCAGCCACATCAAACCTATGCACCCCACCTCCATCCACGGGGTGGAGGACATGATCCGTCTGGGAGACCTGAACGAGGCAGGCATCCTCCGCAACCTGCTCATCCGCTACCGGGAACACCTGATTTACGTGAGTGTTGCAATAGGCCCTTTTGCTCCCTGTGTCTGTCCCAGACTCATCCCCTCTTAATCAGACTTTATTTGTAGGAAATCATAACAACAACAATTTATTCATTTATTTGTTCTGTTAATATCCCACCCTTCCTCCCAAAGGGAGCCCAGGGTGGCGAACTCACCCATAACAATCCTTACCACCACCATTTTAAAAAGCATTCTGTTGTTGTTTAGTCATTTAGTCGTGTCCAACTCTTCATGACCCCCTGGACCAGAGCAACCCAGGCACTCCTGTCTTCCACTGCCTCCTGCAGTTTGGTCAAACTCATGCTGGTAGCTTCCTGAACACTGTCCAACCATCTCGTCCTCTGTCATCCCCTTCTCTTTGTGCCCTCCATCTTTCCCAACATCAGGGTCTTTTCCAGGGAGTCTTCTCTTCTCATGAGGTGGCCAAAGTCTTGGAGCCTCAGCTTCAGGATCTGTCCTTCCAGTGAGCACTCAGGGCTGATTTCCTTAAGGATGGATAGGTTTGATCTTCTTGCAGTCCATGGGACTCTCAAGAGTCTCTTCCAGCACCATAATTCAAAAGCATTAAAAAAGCATTCTAAAAAAGCATTCTAAGGTAAAGGTAAAGGTACCCCTGCCCGTACGGGCCAGTCGTGTCCGACTCTAGGGTTGTGCGCCCATCTCACTTAAGAGGCCGGGGGCCAGCGCTGTCCGGAGACACTTCCGGGTCACGTGGCCAGCGTGACGAAGCTGCTCTGGCGAGCCAGCACCAGCGCAGCACACGGAAACTCCGTTTACCTTCCCGCTATAAAGCGGTCCCTATTTATCTACTTGCACCCAAAGGTGCTTTCGAACTGCTAGGTGGGCAGGAGCAGGGACCGAACGACGGGAGCTCACCCCGCCGCGGGGATTCGAACCGCCGACCATACGATCGGCAAGTCCTAGGCACTGAGGTTTTACCCACAGCGTCACCCGCGTCCCTTAAAAAAAAAAGCATTCTAAAGACAATTAAAAGCAGTCTCTACGATGATGATTTCAGAGGGGACAGTATTATTAAATTATTAAATCCCTCCTGGAAGTGCATGATGGGGGAGACAGACGCAACCCACTGGGGTTACACAAACGGAGGGCTGCCACTGAAAAGTGTGGGAATGTTGAGGAAAGTAGGAGAGGATATATTGATTCAGTATTATCCCTCCTCACTCACGCTAGTGAGCAAGCAGCAGAGCACACTGCGCATTGCTGGAAGCAAGTTGATGGATTCGTTAGAATCATTTAAGTTAAGCAATCCAGTCTGCCTTGTCCACCCTGGCTTGTTCCTGGTAAGTTTCACTTTTAATTTCCTGATAATAATAATGGGCGGGATATAAATAAAAAATTATTATTAGGGACGCGGGTGGCGCTGTGGGTTAAACCACAGAGCCTAGGATTTGCCGATCAGAAGGTCGGCGGTTCGAATCCCCGTGACGGGGAGAGCTCCCGTTGCTCGGTCCCTGCTCCTGCCAACCTAGCAGTTCGAAAGCACGTCAAAGTGCAAGTAGACAAATAGGTACCACTCTGGCAGGAAGGTAAATGGCGTTTCCATGTGCTGCTCTGGTTTGCCAGAAGCGGCTTAGTCATGTACGCCGGCTCCCTTGGCCAATAAAGCGAGATGAGCGCTGCAACCCCAGAGTCGACCACGATAGGACCTAATGGTCAGGAGTCCCTTTACCTTTACCTTATTATATTACTATTATCTTGTATGTGTGAGAAACAACCCCATGCTCTTCCACTGCTAACTCCTGTCTCTGCTTAGAATTTAAATTTGCATTTGGGTGGGGGGTGGAGGAGGAGAAGAGGGAGGCACATCTTGCTGTGACCACAGTCATCTGAGCACTCCGGCCTCGGCGCAGCGCATTAACTTTTCATTAAGTGCCTGAAACACTGTCCTGGATATCTGTCTCTTCTTAGGAGGTTCACCCTGAAGCAGCAATGAATTTTTCATCAGATTAGCAACCCTAGGCTCCTTGATGGTTCTTACTGAATCGCTCCCACACCCCGCAAAACCCATACGCTCCGGCCTTCTTAAGCAATAAGTCCCAATGGACAACTCGTCAGCATCACATTTGAGGGTGCTGCTGTCTAGCTGTGTCTTTCAAAGGAGTGGAGCTGTCCAGAAGGACGTTGTATTAAGGGGTAAATCTATAGGGCGCTGTTGCATCAGCAACTGCCAAGCATCAAATATTGGAGATGTAGAAATGGCAGCAAATCAGCTCTTGGGCTAAGTTTAAGGGGCTGCTTTTGTTGAACGCAGCCCCTCACAGCCTGGGGACCTGTGTCACTGGACACGGGTGGCGCTGTGGTCTAAACCACTGAGCCTCTTGGGCTTGCTGATCAGAAGGCCAGTGGTTCAAATCTGCATGACGGGGTGAGCTCCCGTTGCTCTGTCCCTGCTCCTGCCAACCTAGCAGTTTGAAAGCACACCAGTGCAAGTAGATAAATAGGTACCGCTCCGGCGGGAAGGTAAACGGTGTTTCCGTGTGCTCTGGTTCCCGTCACGGTGTCCTGTTGCTCCAGAAGCGGTTTAGTCCTGCTGGCCACATGACCCAGAAAGCTGTCTGTGGACAAACGCTGGCTCCCTCGGCCTGAAAGCGAGATGAGCGCCGCAACCCCATAGTCGCCTTTGACTGGACTTAACCATCCAGGGTTTTACCTACCTACCTTACCTTTACACAGCCTGAGAGACCGGGGTACCTAAAAGATTGACTTGGCCCTTATTTACCCAACCGACCACTGTGCTCTGCAAGCAAAGAATTCCAGTGGAGACCATCTTATCATGTTATCATGAAGCCTATTCAGCACAGTATAGGAGCTGGGCATCTGTCCTTTGGAACTCCCCTCCCCATGAATGTTTGGCAGGCACTGGCTCTGTTGTCTTTTTCGCTGTCTGCTGAAGGCCTTCCTCTTCCAACCGAAATTTGCAATTTACCAAGCAAAAAAAGGTTCTGTCAGGTCTAATATCTGCATAAATCCTATTCCCAGTAGAAAAAAGACAGTCACAAAACCGAGAAATTGCACAAAACAAATGAAATACCGTGAAAATCCCTGAAACGAGAAGTAATCGACTAGAAATATTATCTTATGGAAATAAACTAAATGGCAAAAATAAAAAAAAATTAAGGAAAAAATTAGAAAAACCTAAAATTGAACAAAGCCTTAATGGGATGCCGGCTACAAACCTTGTTTCACTGAACTATTCAGTTTCCTCAGAAGGAAATAGAAAAATCATAAACCTTAAATGACCAAAATTCAAAAAAGGGGGTAGAACTCCCTAAAATTCTGAAGTATTATAATCCTAGCTCGACCTAGGAGAAGCAAAGCACAGTAATAAAGGAATGAGGACTCAAAGGTACAGTTTCTAATACTGAATTTACAAAAAGGTTTGAAAAACTGAATGGCAAGTTTTAGACAAAGCCCAGCTTAAAAGAAGCAAAGCACAGTTGAGGACTCAGCTGTGAAAATTCTAGTGTTGCCTTTACAAAAAGGTTTAAAAAACCTAAATGGCACAAATTCAAAGAAAGGAATACAAGATAAGCTGTTATAGATTTTAAACAAACTCAAGACTGGATGGGGCATTGATGTAAGATGCCATCTCCATGTCCCCTGATTCTTTGCCCGCTTCTGATCCTGGCTGCTGGCAGGTCATGCCAGTCAAACTCATGCCCCAAGTGAGGTTGATGAGGCAGGTTACAATCCCAACAGTGTCATAGATTTCTTGTACCGTATGTTTCAGTTTGTGGTTTATGCCTCTTAGAAAATCACATGCTCAGCCGTGGGACAGTGTAGGGCATCCTTTTCCTCTTCCCTCCTCCTCCTCCTTTCCTCGGATGTCTTTGACTTTGACAAAGAGTTTTGTGATCTGCTGATAACAGACAACATGTTTTCCCCTCAAATTTTAGACCAACTGCGGCGGGAGGGTAAGTCTAACTAGCCAAACCGCTGAGCCATCCCACTTTCATACACGCCAAACAAAAAAGCCTTGTCATCTCATTGTGACCTGCCTGGTCATTCATTGATATCCATCTGTCTGTATTTGCTTTATAAACTCATTTGTTTAAACCTCATCCGCCATTGGCTTGCTGTGCGGCTTTGCTAACAACAAGGAACTGGCAGCAAACTGTGTCTAAACGAGGGAGAAGACCGGTATTGGGAGTTGTGGTGATTTGTTTCTTAATATTCACGTTCTGGTGAAATGAGCATCACCAAAAGCTTTGCCTAACTGCCCGTGCATGGCACCATTTTTTGCATGTACAGAAACAATGGCACTGAGTAATGATGTGGTTTTGTTGTTTCGCTCCTTCTGCAAACCATAGAAAATTGGAGGGGCCTTTGCTCCTCACTAATGTGCTCATATAACGTGTCTCAGCAAGGAATTTCACCTCCAGCATCTATAGAGATTAGAAAATGCCTTCCTGCAAAGTCATTGTGGAGTCCAGTACACTCAAAATAGCAATTTTCTGTTGAATCCATCTCAATTTTAAATCTCAAGAAACATTTCAAATGGATTCCAAAGCAATTTTCCATTGCTTAGGTTGCAGAACATATTCTAATTCCCCGGACTATTTAAGTCGTTCAACTTCTATTTACCTGCTCCCAATAAACATTTATAAACAATAGTAACAGGTTTGGTTTTCTGTGAAGATCCAGTAATTCCTTCCAGTAATTTAGGGCACATGGAGGCAAACAAATAATGTGTATGAAAAAGTGGACATTCGTTAGAGTATACCACTGAATAAATTAAGAATATTAGAAGAAAGTGTGCGTACAACTGCATATTATCAACGACAGTAAGACATAAAATGCATTTTATTAGGGAAAGTTGCTTGCAAAAGTGTGCGTGTTTTAATGCCAAATCACATACATAAATATATAGGCACATGAGGGCTTTTTAAATAAAAAAAATGCAAACTGCTGCAGAAATCTAGGGATTTCATTTAACGGCTAGAAAACCGAGAAGCAGAGAAAAACTGAAATTGACCGATTCATCCACCCCTATCCAACGCAGCTGTTCTTACCTTTTTATCTTTGTGTGAACAAGTCTTTCCTCTTTCCAGACCTACACCGGCTCAATATTGGTGGCTGTGAACCCTTACCAGCTGCTTCCGATCTACTCACCGGAACAGATCCGCCTCTACACCAACAAAAAAATTGGGGAGATGCCCCCACACATTTTCGCCATCGCAGACAACTGCTACTTTAACATGCAGAGGAACAACAAAGATCAGTGTTGCATTATAAGGTGGGTGGACGGATTCCACAGGTGTGTGGCTGTCAAAGGCTCCATCTCTTTGCTTTGAAGGAGCTGTGACTTCTTATAAGTCAGGAGTTTGAGCTGCTGGTCCATTTTACCCAGGACTGACGCCCAGGCCAAAGGTCTTTCCTCCCAGATTTGCTAGCAGAGATACTTACTGGAGATTTTGGCAACAGACTCTTGGTTCTGGCAAAAGCAAGGAGCTTGTTTCGGGAGAAAATTCCCTTTGGGGGTCCAGTCTGAAGGCTCACACTAAATTCCCCCGTGGCTCCTAGAAGCTGTCTTTCACATCTCCCTGTGTCTGGGACGTAGCTGTCAACTTTTCCCTTTTCTGGTGAGGAATCCTATTCAGAATAAGGGAATTACCCTTTAAAAAAGGGAAACGTTGACAGTTATGGTCTGGGACAGGGCCAGATTTAGGTTTGATGAGGCCCTAAGCTACTCAAGGTAACGGGGCCCTTTAAATGTCCAGCTGTCCTTTGTCAACAACAAATTGTCGCTGTTTTTTGTGTTGAATATATGGTAATTTATGGACCTAATAGGTATCTCAAGCCATTTGCACATGTTGCCATGCAAGCAGTCCATGAAGAATGGAGGCACACTATATATAGAAAGGAGCAAAACAGTGATATTTTTGGGAGCAGGCTGGCAGGCGGGGCCCATGACTCACATCATAGGAGCCTACACAACACAAAACACTCTTGCTGTGTGTAGGTTTTATTTTATTTGTTTTTTATCTTATATTTTTGAAATGTAAGGTAAAGGTAAAGGGACCCCTGATCATTAGGTCCAGTTGTGACCGACTCTGGGGTTGCGGCACTCATCTCGCTTTGTTGGCCGAGGGAGCCAGCGTACAGCTTCCGGGTCATGTGGCCAGCATGACTAAGCCGCTTCTGGCGAACCAGAGCAGCGCACGGAAACGCCGTTTACCTTCCCGCCAGAGCGGTACCTATTTATCTACTTGCACTTCATGTTTTCGAACTGCTAGGTTGGCAGGAGCTGGGACCGAGCAACGGGAGCTCACCCTGTCACGGGGATTCGAACCGCCGACCTTCTGATTGGCAAGCCCTAGGCTCTGTGGTTTAACCCACAGCGCCACCCGTGTCCCACTTTGGAAATGTACATCCAGGGTTTTTTCCCTTTAATTTTTTTGGGGGCCCCCAAGAGAGTGGGGCCCTAAGCTATAGCTTGTTTAGCTTATACGTAAATCTGGCACTGCTCTGGGATCATGGAGAACGACAGAAGCGAGGAAATTGGGGGCAGAGAAGCTTTACTGTCCTTCGTGTTGACGAGATTTGGCCGTGTGGTTACACCCAATTTTGTTGTTGTTGCAGCGGTGAGTCGGGCGCAGGGAAGACAGAAAGCACCAAACTGATCCTGCAGTTCCTGGCTGCGATCAGCGGGCAGCACTCTTGGATCGAACAGCAAGTTCTGGAAGCCAATCCCATCCTAGAAGGCAAGTTCATAAACGTGGAGAGGGATGCTTCTTTGTAATGTGCTGTTGACACCCCAATCACTGGGCGCTGCAAGATTCCAAGGGTTCCAGGCGCTTGCCCAGGGTTCAGTTTCTCCAGAATGAGGAGCATTGGAGACTATGGTATATTTAGGATATTTGTTGTTGTTGTTTAGTCGTTTAGTCCTGTCCGACTCTTCGTGACCCCATGGACCAGAGCACGCCAGGCACTCCTGTCTTCCACTGCCTCCCGCAGTTTGGTCAAACTCATGCTGGTAGCTTCGAGAACACTGTCCAACCATCTCGTCCTCTGCCGTCCCCTTCTCCTTGTGCCCTCCATCTTTCCCAGCATCAGGGTCTTTTCCAGGGAGTCTTCTCTTCTCATGAGGTGGCCAAAGTACTGGAGCCTCAGCTTCAGGATCTGTCCTTCCAGTGAGCACTCAGGGCTGATTCCCTTCAGAATGGATAGTTTTGATCTTCTTGCAGTCCATGGGACTCTCAAGAATCTCCTCCAGCACCAGAATTCAAAAGCATCAATTCTTCGGCGTTCAGCCTTCTTTATGGTCCAGCTCTCACTTCCATACATCACTACTGGGAAAACCATAGCTTTAACTAGACGGACCTTTGTCGGCAAGGTGATATATTATATTTAGGTTTATATTTAGGATTATTATAGTTAGGATATAGGGTTTATTGACACATATATACAACCTGAGCCTACGATGGAGGGGCTCACAGCATTGTTACCCCATGGGGGCCTTGCGTGTCCCATTGCCACAGCCTTGGCTTCATACAGAAATCAGGCATGGCTCTCTCTGTCTCCCAGCTTCCCAGCCTATTGTCTGGTTCTAGCTTCTAGCTGAGACCTCCACCTCTGACTTTTGTCTTTCTATCTACCGCACAGTTGAGGGAGCCCATTTCCCCTCTGGCATGGAGCCACTTCCTTTGTTACCTTAACAGCCCATACTTAGCGGATTATGATGACCCTTGTCTCGTTGATTCAACAATTGAATCCCTTCCGGATGCAGGAATTGGAAAGGTCTCAGGCATCCAGCCTATCCGCACCCCTAAACTCACAACAGTACTAAGGTTTATTCAGCTGGGCAACAACCCTACTAAAAACCGATTATGAAAAAGAACTGTTGGGGACGCTACTGTTTCCCCCCTTTGTTTTTGTCTCCCGTAGCTTTTGGGAATGCAAAGACGATTCGCAATGACAACTCCAGCCGATTTGGTAAATACATCGACATCCATTTTAATAAGCGGGGTGCTATCGAAGGAGCGAAGATTGAGCAGTACCTGCTGGAGAAGTCTCGTGTTTGCCGACAGGTGAGGTGTTTTGGGTGGCAAAGGTTTAGCCGTTCGTCCACATCAGCCTTGAGTTCCAAGTCACTTGCGAATTTACACATTATTATATGTGTCAATGCGAATCGAAGTTAAGTTATTGTAGCTGTGGTATAAGGGATTTTATCAAGAGTGGATTGTATTTGGTTTGAACAATAGTCTGGAGGCAGAATTAAAGGGAATCAGACCTTGAAGAACAGCACGTGGGAAGCCACACAAAATTTATAATCGGCTATTCAGGTAGGTAGCCGTGTTGCTCTGATGCAGTCAAAATAAATAAATAAAAATTGTTCAGTAGCCCCTTAAGAGACCAACTAAGTTTGTTCTGGGTATAAGCTTTCATGTGCATCTGCAGAAGGTATATTTCGTGGTACCTGAAGAAGCGTGCATGCACACGAAAGCTTATATCCAGAACAAACTTAGTTGGTCTCTAAGAGGCTGCTGGACAATTTTTTATATATAATTGTGTTAAGTTGTGGGTGAACATATCAGATGACACAGCGATTCTTCAAACAGCTCTTGTTTATTCACGGGCCAGAACAGAACTGAACTGAAGGGTTCAGTCAGCCTGCTTATATAGAGCTCCAGTACAACGTAACTGTAACAATTTTCTAAAACTATCCAATCATTGAACATCACTTTCGATCCCTTATTTGCATAACTATCTACAGTATCCCCCTGCTGGCCCAGGGTGAGAACTTCAGTACATAACAAATTGGCTATGTAATTGATTTGTATTTGAATTGCTATTGCTATTTGGTGTGAATATAATATGGCACGTTTAATTATTATTTGCTGATGTTTGACTTTAGTGTTTACTATAAGATTCTAATGGATTGTTGAATGTTGCTTTGTTTGATAGAAGTTGTTTATTTAAAAGTTATTGTGACTTTTATATTGGATCAGATTGTTATTATTAATGTTTGATGTTTTATTACGTTTTTATGTCTTGGAAGCCGCCCAAAGTGGCTTGGGCAACCCAGCCAGATGGGCAGGGTAGAAATGAATTATTATTATTATTATTATTATTATTATTATTATTATTAAGCTTTGCTTCTCCCTCTGTTTCTCTTTCAGGCCCAGGATGAGAGAAATTACCACGTCTTTTACTGCATGCTGAAAGGAATGACGCCAGAACAGAAGAAGCTGCTTGGACTTAGGAAAGCAGGAGACTACAACTACCTCTCGATGGTGAGGGCAAAGCCATTTTTAAAAAATTAAGGGGGATGAGTTTTCACTGGTATCTGAGGCCCAGTTTAGACTGAGGTGGTAAGCCTCTGTCCGTAGACTGTGCCATTTGCGTGTCGAGGTCTCCAGGGCCACCCCAATAACTCACACATCACACCAATATTTTTGTTTAAGTTTTTTGGCATAATTTTGGCCACAACTTTATTAAAATACAAACATGTGAGTGGTTGCTTAGGCATTGGTTGCAACTAGCTGCCCTCACCGTGGGGGACAGTCTGACATTCCGCACGCCTGCGAAAGTCAGAAAAGGAGAATACACTTGGGGGTAACGACGGAGCAGGGAACCTGCCCTCACCCCCAATGCAACCAGGAGCTCATTGCTATGGCCCAAGCCCCCTTGACAGGGTGGACAAGCAATAGTTTCCCCCCGTTCCTTTAACGGAATCCCCTGCAGCAGCAGCATTAGAGGGGCAGGCACAGCCAATCCATGCCCCTCAACCAACCAAACCATAAACCAATGCCTAACTGCAACCTTATAAGTTGTGACAATTTGCTATGCAGTAGGCAAAAACCAAATGGCCCCAGCCAATCAGCCAGATGGACAAAATTCCTATCAGGCCCCTGCCCCAAGAGCAGATGACCCCATGACAGGCATAGCAAGGTCAAAGCGAACAACCCTAATTCTAGGGGGGGGGGGGGACGGGCAATCTGATGCACTGGCGAAAAGAGGAAGCCCTAGCCCCATGCAAGGAGTTTTAGCATTTCTGGCTGTCAATCAACAAATGGCAACATTAACTTCTTCCCAACGACAAGGGAAGCCCAATCTCATCAGTGGCCAACGGTCAATTAGCCCGCCCCACAACTTTGGAGTGTCCTGGCGGCCCCCACCGCAACACGTGCTCTCCATGAAGGAGAACACGCTTTCACACTGCGGTCAGGAGCCCACACAATGGAAAACTCCTCCTTACCAAGAAAAGAAAATACCTGCACTTAGAAACCTAGCATGTCAGGGAGGGGAGGCTAGGCTAGATTGCTTCTTCCAGGCATGCCGTTCTAGATCTCTACATGCAGGGAACTTCCTATGGTTACTCTGTGCATGCTCAGAAGCGCACCCAGCATTGTGACATTTGCCAAAGATTTTCTCCCCCCAAAAAAACATTTCCAAAATAAGTCCTCTATATGTTTCTGCTGTTTTAAGACTCTCCTTGGTTTTTTTAGTGGTTCTTTGGCTCCACTCTGACAGGTGTTATAACCCCTCCAGACAGCACTAGCATGCTAACAACGGGGAAGCCTTGCAGAACAGCCAGTAAGAAAACAACCAGTAAGATTTCACCCTGAAATCACATAGCGACATCGGTGGGCGGACTTACTTCGGGCATGCGCTGGCATACCATGTATCCCGAAGTATTTTTGTCCCATCCACCCTGAAATCACAAAGCAACATTTCGCAAAAAACAAAAAAAGGAAGGGGGAGATGATGGGAAGTTCTTGTTCAGTTCACATTGAGTTCATGAAACATCATACCCTGACCTGTTCTTAACGCATTGTTGACCACATCTACGGAATGCGATTGTTATGCTCTTTCAAGTCATGCAATATCAATCACTAGTAATAGTTTATTAAGACATGCAATATCAATCACTAGTAATAGTTTAATAAGGAGGTTTCACGCCTGTCCAATTCTGTGTTCCCTTTCCCAAGCTTTAATCTATTGATGATTAATGCCTATATACAACCCTTGCATTGTATTTGTGTTAACCAATCAGCAAGAAGCACATATATGGCAATGCTGTAATATTCAATAAAAGGGACTCGCCGAGACATGCTCGGTAGATGCCTCCCATATGACACTTGCCATTCGTCTGTCGTTTATTTCAACCCAACACCTATGATCACGTAAAGCATACTCAATAAACACACGAGACATAACTGGCTGTGTTCTTAGATAAATAAGGTATACTATTCATAGTATCAAATTATAAATTTCAATGGAAGTATTCTATTTACGAACAGACAGATGGAATAGACACCATTACACGGATGGACTTTATGCATGAACTGTCTAAAGAATGATCTGATCTACTGGGTCTTCTGCTTGGTTCGTTTGTTGAACTTTATGAGTTACTTCCGTTGAAATTTATAATTTGATATTATGAATAGTATAACTTATTTATGTAAGAACACAGCTGGTTACGTCTCGTGTGTTTATTGAACAATCAGTAAGGCCTAAGAAATCCACCGATTTCTTGTGCGCTATTATTGCAGCAAGAACTTGTTGGAGAAATTCCAGCTGCATTAAACCCCTAGTAGCCCTTAGTCATGAGTTGCTGTTTATTTGATGGTTCCTGCTTGCTGTTTTTAGTTGTCATGCTTTGCTTTTTCATATTGTCGCCTCTTTGAAGGGCCTTGAAATATACTCAGAGTCGAGAGTGGATTTCATGCTCTTTATTCAGCTCATAGTAGTGAGGAATGGAAGTTCCCCCGAAATGTCTGCTTTATATACATTATT